GGGGTGCATGGGTGTGGGGTGGGTGACGGGGGTGGGTGTGATGACGACAGTAGTGGCATGATGGTTAGTGACAGTTTGGGGTGGGTGGCGGTTGTGACGGCAACAATAGTGGTGTTATGAGTGGGGATGTGACAACGACAGTAGTAGCATGGTCATGTTGGGCAAAAGGGTGGGCGCTGTTGGTTAAATTGGACGCAAAGGGATGGAATTCAATTCCTTCACTCATGCCAAGGAATGGTGAATTCACTAATTTGTGCAATTCAAAGGATTCCATCCATTTCAATATGTGAACCAAACAAATGAATTGGAATTTGGTCAAAGGAATTGATCAATTCCAATTCCCTTGAAATCCTCTGAATTTGGTGAACCAAACAAGTAAACAACCCTTAAAAGTTTATCTTCCACTTGGTTGTAACCCTTTCGTACACCTTCAATAAACATGTATCGACGTGATCACATGTTACCGGTTAAACTGGGTACATAATAGGAAAATTTGAAACTTTATTACATTGATGGAGAAAAAAGTTATTTGTTACACTAAATAGGAATTAAACCAAACTTTGTTGCATTTTGCCCAATCAAAACTCTGTTGATATACGCATGTCAAATTATTCACTTGTATACACCGTTTAGTTCCATTTTGTGGGTTCTTGATGTGAGGATGGAACCCACAAAATAGACCATCAGAGATTATACAGTATAACTGCTATTTAGAGGAGAGACTGGTTTTCTTATAAGAGCAGGTACAATTATAAACATGATGTTCATGGTAACAATTAACGTAAAAAAGTAACTTACCCACTTTAACATCAATAGAGCACGAGGATTCTGATGTCGTCACCACAACCCATCTACAGTGCACCTGATGCAACACAGGGTGTCAAGATGGTAAGAGTAGAAGAACAAAAACGAAGAGTTCATTTCAAATGGTATCGACAAACTATGAAGCCAAAACTTGTTTTTTGCTTGTAATGGAGAAGGGGGCACAACGCCTGATTCAATTCTAACTTTATATGATAAAATTTAAGCATTATTCCAAATTTATTCTAATTAACATTTTTGTCTTTATGAAAACAACCGCTACACTCTTTGGGGTAGAGAACAGGTATGCATAATCCCACCCAGAGTCTACTTTCGAGTGGGATATACTAGGTCTAATTTGGTTTCACTTGCTTAACTGTGGAATTCAGAAACTTACCTTGATGAAGATTGATCCTAGGGCAAATCTCTATCCTACCCAATCAATACTGCTAAAAGAAAGGTGCCCCAACGTAAATAAATCTACGTGGCTTCACCTAATGAACTTCGGGTGTTATGTGTGAATTGTGATGTCGTCTTTTATATCACACATGTTCATCGTGAGGAATACATCTATTGCTAGTCAATCACCAAGTATATGTCAAAGGGCAGGAGGAAAACGTTTCACCCTCTTCACTACAACAAAGTCGGCTTTATAGAACGTAAATAGGATCAAACAATTGTGCGTCCTATATATAGGTGTTACAATAAGTTGATAGGACGCTTTTGGGCATCCTAACAAGTTTTTTGGACAATTATGAAATAAAGCATCCTACTGCTATGTCAAAAAATGTCTTATAAAGAACAGGGGTCCTATAAAAAAAGGTGTTCATATGATACTTCTCAAAAGTATCCAATAAAAAACAAATATATAACACTTTATTTCAAAAGTATCCTAAAAAAACTTTGTTAGGATTCCCAAATACATCTTTAACATCCTATTATAACACCTTTACATAGGACGCACAATTGTTTGGTTCTATAAACTCAAGTCCTATAAAGCAGTCTATTAGGACATTTAGAAATATTTGGCGCTGTGGGAAATTCTGGTGTTGAGGCCCAAAAGCCCATCGTCAATCAAGTCGGTAAGAAGCCCATAGTATGGAAGGTGTACATGAGGAGAGAGAAGGCAGCAGGTCATTAGGAGAGGAATAAAGTTAGTGTTGAGGTGGGGATAAGGGTCATTCTGTTATTTTGGCTAATTCTGTTTCTAGGAAAGAATTCTCTGGAGAGGAATCCCAACTTGGTTGTTTTTTCTCTATTGGTGTAGAGCTTATGCTCATTTTCCCTTTCTAGTAATCCAATTTCCGATACATTTTCTCTGTTTCTATCAATTGGTCCGACCTACCGGATCCTCGAGAGGAGCTAGCATTTCGAAAATACCACCAAAACCAACAAATATGGGTGATCGTGTGGAGGCATTGGTAGATGCGGTGGTGACAGTGGAAGAAAATTTACAGAGATCCTTGGCCGAATTCAGAGAGGCGATGATAGCTGATTTGGCGAAGCTGTTGGATCAACACAAGATCCACCTCCTGTCAACAATAGAACGGATGATCGGTTGACAGAATTTCGTATGGCAGTAAAGAAGGTCGAACTGTGTTTGTGGTGGTGAACGGGCTGTCCAAATATGCACACTTCATTCTCTTAAAACACCCATATACAGCAAGGAAAGTAGCCGATGTTTTTGCAAGGGGGGTGGTACGATTACATGGCCTTCCAAGATCAATTGAAAGTGACAGAGACCCGTTATTTATTAGTCTATTTTGGCAGGAACTTTTTTGATTGCAAGCAACTATGTTAAAAATGAGTTCCTTGCATCATTCGGAAACAGATGGCCAAACCGAGGTAGTGAATAGGTGCCTTGAAACCTATTTACATTGTTTTGCTTCCGAACAGCCTAAAGGTTGGTCTCAATGGGTTGCGTGGGCTGAGTTGTGGTACAACACCACATTCCATGGTTCAACGAGGATAACTCCGATTCAGATCGTGTATGGACGAAAACCGCCGATGTTAGATCGATACACACAAGAGGAGATAAGGGTGGAACAAGTTGTTGCCAATCTAATTGACCGAGATGGGAACACCACTTACTACGAGCATAACAGCAGATGAAGAAGCATGCTGATCGTAAAAGAAAAGACGAGGAATTCAAGGCGGGTGAGTGGGTTTTCCTTAAGCTCCATCCTCACCGTCAACAAACTGTGGCGAGAAGAATTAATCACAAGTTGGCTCCTATATACTACGGTCCTTTTCCTATTGTCTCGAGGGTAAGAAGAGTGTTATACAAGTTAAAGTTTCCGGCCTCAAAGAAAGTTCACCCGGTATTTAATATCTCTCAACTTAAGCGGGCTGTGGGGGATTATCAGGTTGAGGACACATTACCTGATGGGCTAACAGCTGATGAGGATACTATAGAAGAGCCGGAGGAGTTGTGAGCAACTCGTGATATCTCAGTTGCTGGGCAGCAAGTTCGACAGTGTTTGGTGAAGTGGAAAGGGAAAGACAAGGACGATGTCACTTGGGTTGATGACAATATGCTGCAGAGCCAATTTCCTGATTTCAGCCTTGAGGACAAGGCTGCAGTAAAAGAAGTGGGCAATGTTGGGAATTCTGGTGTTGAGGCCCAAAAGCCCATAGTCACTCAAGTGGGTAAGAAGCCCATAGTATGGAAAGTGTACATGAGGAGAGAGAAGGCAGCAGGTCGTTAGGAGAGGAAAAAAGTTAGTGTTGAGGTGGGGACAAGGGTCATTAGTTATTTTGGCCAATTCTGTTTCTAGGAGAGAATTCTCTGGAGAGGAGTCCCTGACTCTGGTTGTTTTTCTCTGTTGGTGTAGAGCTTATGCTCATTTTCCCTTTCTAGTAATCCAATTTCCAATACATTTTCTCTGTTTCTATCAGGCTTCCTATAAAACCAATTTTGTTCCAGTGCTTGGATGTGGTATGACAGGTCTTCTGCAAAAAGATAAAAGGTAAATAGCATTTTAGGGATGCCTTAAGATGAGTTTTGCCCACAAACAAGCCACTATATCGCCTTATTTCCCACACATAAGTGACATACCTTTTATGCAATCATCTTGGCCTATGATTTAAATGTTCTCTGATTGATTTCTTATTATGTAATCCTTCTACATACACAAGCATGCATAATACTGAAGACTGCATGCTAGCAAGAAATCTACATAATATATAATTCACATATACTTGATATCCCACAACAGGCTAAAAGCAGCAAACGACAAATGAAATATACCTCAAAATAAGATCCAAATGGAACATCATGCGCCTGTTGTACAGTCTCAAACACCTATAAAGATAGTGTAATCTGTCAACTTTACAGAAGTATCATCCATGAACGAAGTCAAATAAGCTCTCAGTATAAAAAGTGAAAATACCAATGAACACCAAGTAGAGACTGTCTGAAGGTGCTAATGAAGAATAATTTCAAGAGATCACCAAAAGGACTCACCAGAGATTTTTTGTCAGAGGACAGCAGAACGTGCTGCCACTCCGTCATCGCGGTGTCTGGAGGGCACATAGGACTATTACAAAGAGATCTAAATGTAATTTCTCTGACTTGGCCATCATATTCATCAGCAGAATGCCACTGGCCCATCTACATGAGCAAAAAGGGAAATACAAAGCTTAGAATGGGAATGGAATCTCACATCTTTCTGCAACAAACATCTGAACCAGGTAGCTGTGAATGGAATTATCACAGGAGCCTTGTGCAACAGAATATACAGTTCCACCAGTAGACAGTTATGAAAGATCAAAATTTTTAGTCGCCAACATGTATGGATAGAATATATTTAAGGGTTTATGAGAAAATCTAGAATTCGTATGATCTGGCATATCATAAATGCCCACCAAAAGAGCTGACCTAAATAAAGCAAAAGTTTCATTATAGGCGCAACTAGAAGGTGGGACTTAAATAGAGGATTCACTTAACTCAAATTCAGAGGCATAAAGTTGTGGGTACAATACTGGAACACATAAGAGAAACATGAATTTGTGTATATAATGAAAAAGGATGAATATTTGGTGATAGAAACGCAATGTTTAGTTGAACCATGATTCCACTCCAATGGGTGAAAGTGGAGGAATAGGATGAAAGTACAAGATGGACGTATAATCTATAAATGAAAATTTACAGGGTGATGCTTACATTAAGATTTGTGTCCTTCCGGGCTGAACGGTAATCACTTGTAAAATTTGAACTATCACTCAACAGCAAGTCAAAAAACTGTTCAGCAGTCCTTGGAAAAACATCCTGAGTAATTTTTGAGAAATATCAATAAATATGATGAAAACAGGCACTCAAATATAAAGAGTATTGACTATTTCCATACATTGTATATGCCAGTGAGAACATCCTCTTGAACAAATGGCTGGTGTTTTTTTGGCACACTTTCTTCTAAAACCTTAACCTGTTTTTTACGATTTAGAGAGCTACTGCTTGCACGCAATGCTGACTGTTGTTGCTCCTGTACATAGAAAATTTTCATCAAATAGGTGGATTACACCGGTGAACAATTACTCTACCAAATAAAGGTACATACAGGCAGATATCATGTCAAACAATTTTCTTTTATAAAAGTTTAACCCTCAAGTCAGATAAAAACCAAAAAGTGATTGCTTTATGCCTAAAGTGATTGCTTTATGCCTACAACTTAACCCTTCCATCTATCGGCTTATTGCAGTATTGATCATAAGATACACCATCGAAAAGGAAGCAACTCCTAATGGTTAAATAAGTTAGAAGGTACACAATAACTGGAAGTTCACTAGTGCAGAGACTTTCTACTGACTTAAAAGCTAATGGTTATTAAACTTATAGATCATAGCTTCTTCCTCAGCTTCTTGCTAGTGAGTTATTTGGCAATCGTGGCTGCACTTGAAAACCCTTCTCTATTTGGTTTTTAGTATTTAACATTTGAGTCTCAGCAAAAAACAATCACGGACCAAAAGAGCTTTCAAAGTCTGAACCCAGAGGTAGAACAGCCCAGTTGCAAAAGAACGAGTATGCCACCACTGGTAATGAAATACAGTAGGAACAAAAACAAAAAGAAGTGACAAATAATCATAAGAGTGGCTATGAAAAAACTCCAGGCTGAAAGAGGAACAAGGCACACCTTCTTCTCAGCTTCTACCATTGAATGGTAGTTCTTTGCTGAACGTTGTAAAGTTCTTACTGCATGATTTCTGTTCCAAAATGATGCAAACATATATCTAACTCTACCTGTAAATTAATTTCAAAAACCATGAGCCACAAATAGGGTTACATTCACGCTACAGATATTGAGAACACACTAAAAGGAAGTAATTAAAACAATGCCCATTTAAAATGCAAGAGAGAGTAAAAACAATTAAGTGAATTCAGTTTCAGAATTAGAAATGTATGATTCCTTTGCTGATGTTGATTGTATAGGGTAGCATTTTCTTTAGTACAGAACAGAATAGCAAATAACATGAAAGATATGTAACAAGTTAGTATGAGTGGCAAGAAACTAGAATGACCTTTTGGTTACTTTTTTCATTTTACTACCTCTCAAATTTAAGAAATATTTATTTTCAGGAATGTTATTCTTCTTGGGGGACTATTTAATCCACAACATATAGAGGTAAATCACACTATTTTCAAAAACAGACTCAAACTAAAACAGGGTTCGTTTAGAAATTAAAATATGGCCATAGTTGAGGGAAAATGATACAATTTTACACAGAATTTTCAGTTAATTGTGGACCATGTATTCTTTAAAATGATTATAGAGCTCTATTTAACACTAAATATAATCATCCAAAAGACATCATATGTTCAACAATATTTATATTTTCCATTTCCCAATGTCATAAAATGTAGATGGCCCAAACCACCTCTAAGACATACCCATTTAGGCAAGTCAAGCCCATAACATTAAACAAAACTAACCGCACAAAAAGAGAACATGTAAAACTCTTCTCAACCGGTCATGGAAATAAGAAAAAGAATAGAATAAGATTATAAAAACAATCTCAACAAAAATTTCCAACCATATAGAAACTTTTTTTACAGATGAAGGTCTATTTACTTAAGATCACCCCAAACAAGTTTGGAAAGCATATTTGAGCAACGATAATAGGACAGAAAAATCCCTACATAAAGCTTATTGAAACTGACCATCTGGACTTCGCAAAGGAGGAACGCCATGTCCACCAGCACCCATGCGAAGAACTATTGTTATGGCAGGATTAATGACTGCATGTTGGCTCCTTCGTATCTGCAAAACCAGGCATTATCCCTGCAAGCTTTAATATAAATACTATAATCAAACCCCAGAAAGGACAGCTGAGACTACAAACCTCATCTATATCTCCAAAAGGAATAATCACCTGTGGAATGGAAAACATACAGATTCAATGTTGCTCACGCAGAGGTGCTAACATAGTAAAGCAATACTAATACTGTGGATGCTGACTTCAGAGGGGATGGCATCTGACTTCATTTGACACATAAATTAGGAAGAATATGCCAGATTTCTTCAAATTTTCTCATCTACATGCTAAGCACAGGACAAGACAACTAGAGAATTGCCGATAGAACAACAATAATACGGGACATTTAAAAAGAAGGTTTCATGCAGCAATCCCAATCCGAACTGAAAACCTTTTGGGGGACCAACAACAAAAAAAAAGTGCTATCTTGTGTAGGTGAACTGAATGACACTGTATATAACGCTGCAGAATATGAATGGAAGCATATATGATGTGAAAAAAATCGCAGATTAACCTTCATTTGTTTTGAGAATACATTAGAGTGAAAGCAGATATGCCAAGCCGAAACATACATACGGCCATGATACAAGAATGACCTCTCCATTGCACATGAATAGCTGTGTTGAACAACCTGAAACATATATTTATACTATCTGAGCAACTTAAGGAGGCAGTCGTGGCAGTATATTCAGATTCTTACATCAGAATGAGATCTATTGGCCCTATAGAAGCTAACTGTTAAAGAAAGAAATTTGCCTCATCTGGTAGAAGGTCAAATATCATCTGCAAAGGCCCAGGTTTCTGATGTACCACTATTGGCCCTGGTTTTAAATTATACACCGAATTCCGTCTTCTAGGATTAGCACCAGCATAACCTTTCAAACCCCTAAAAAGTAATTTGACAGTCATCAAGCAGCACATGATTTAGTGTAAACAGAATCAAGTCATAAATTCTCTGCAATCACACATGTTCAGTTGTACATGCAAAATGCAATGAGAAAGTGGATGTGTTTCTTGAGAAAATATCCTGAACACATTCACGTTCTGTTTCTAGCACCCAATACACATGAACCGCAATTCCATACAGATATAGACGACTAACCAAAGACTATTGTTAGAACTTAGAACCTAATAACAACCATATGTCAACAAGCACATATAGAGATGGAGAAGAAGAGGCTACAAAAAAACTGGATTTCTCCAGACGACCCCAAACGAAGAGACAATTTTTAGTTAATTGTTGTACCTTAGGTAGTGGGGTCAAATATGGTAGCCTAGGGTACAAGTGCCTAATGCAGTACAACAGTAGTACAAGTAGGTAATGCAAGAGTAGTAAAGTGGGATAGTATGAATAGGAGGGGGTTAGGTCATTAGGGTTTTATCGATCAATTCATGTGTGTTTTGGGCGAGAGCCTTGGGAGACATCCGGCACCTGCAGTCTCGAAGTGCCTGGAAATCGATTGTAACCCTATGACTGTTTGTAGTTAATACAAATCACTCTCCAATTCTGTTGTTATCGATTCGGTTTGTATCAATAATCCATCTAACAGTAGAAAAAATGCCCCGGAAGGAAGAAACTAGAAAAACCAATACAGCCCTTTGAGAAAGTCCTGAAACCATCCCCTACTCTGAGGTACAAACAATGTAATTTAATTTTCACCATGTGTGTAAACACTCTGATTCAACCAAAACCACCACAACCTGATGGCGTCCATCACAGGTACAACCACCTCAAAAGAAAACAATTTATTTAGGGAATAGGGTCCAGATGTAGTAAGCACCAGGCTTTGAAGAATTTGGGAAGGTCTATTGTACTCCGTTTTACCTGTGCATGGAGTAATCTTTTCCTACTGTATAAAAGCTCATATTAGGAGCACGTTCACAGGAGGCTGATCAAATAGGGAAGGGTAACATTACATACAGTAACAAGCCTTTATGTAACAAAGAGTAGTCCATATGATAAAAAAAACACAAAAATCTTTAAAAGTACATGGAGATCAAACCAACAGCCATTAGGAAAAGAGTTAAGCAACATGCTACCTGGAAGAGTTCGTAGGGAGATTAATTGTCTTAATATGGAGACAAACCTGAGAAACAGCAGTGCTTTACATATTTAATTAATCACTTTAAGAGGATGGCCAATGAAAAGATACGTCTACCAACAGAAGACGAAATAAGACAAAATTACAATTACCTGTCCTGGTGAACTACTCAAGGGGTGCCATACGGCACCGGTTTGACCTTCATTTTCAACAGGAATGGTCACTGAACCAAGAACTGCACTTTTCCAAATAATATCCCAATCATATATTGACACGTTAATCTGTCCAAAAGCAATGAATAATCATTATCATTAGAAAAAATCACTTGCATTAATTGCTCTGGACATGATGATATTGAGTTAGACATTTAGAGCATAGCATACATTCTTCTCTCTCAGCCTCATTTACTGAAAGATGATGTGATGCAATCATGCAGATACGAGATACTCAAATGTAAAGCCTCTTAAGGAATGATTTCATAAGCATATATAATCCCCATAATCATAATCAGGTTTATCAATATGACACTCTCTTGATCACTCATCGCTATAGACATTACTCCTAACAAAAACTACTTCACCTTTCTTCCAAGAGCAAGGAGGAATTCTTTGTTTTTAGTGAAAATTTTTATAATTTTTTAATAATATCTGAAAGTTTCAGAGCTAATCTGATACAAACCGTGTCTAGAAATATCTGAAACGAACACTCAATATATTTAGTCGAAACCAACGTAAACTGCCCAACCAATTCAAAGCGAGCAAGAACAGCGATAGGGTCATACTCATACAAATACAATTGCAGCCAACAATCAAAAGAAGGTTCTCCAACGACCATTATTGGAACAAAACAAAACCTGGCCTGCATGTAACACCTGAGCCAAACCATCGCACTTCTATCTTAAAAAATGACCAATGATGGATCTAATGAATTGTACTAAACTGCAGCGGCTTGCTATTGCCCATGGCCTTCTCCATGACCAAGGTGATAGATGGTATAAGGAAGTTTGAGATGGATACCAAGTAACCAGTAAAGGCACATAAGGAATGATGCCCCTAATCTGCATTCAGGTGGATTACCCTGTCCCAAACCATCTGATACTTGAGACATGAAAAAGAAATTGAAGATTCACAAAAGAATCTCAAGACAGCTAATTTTGACTTTGTACAGATAAATTTGTATTGATTTGATTCAAAAGAAGTTTGCTTTCTCTGCTCTTAACACATGTATTTTCCTGCATGACCTTCCTGTGAAGATATGAGCTGGAATGCACCGATGAAGATCAGATACCAAAAAAGCTAAGCTTCTTATTATCTATAGAAGGATGAAAAATACTGTCAAGGTTTCTAGGTAGGACTGAATAGAAAGTAATTGAACTTGTCAGAACTCAGCCATGAAAGAAAAGCATGGACTGAGTATAGAAAAGAGCAACAATTGTGGGTTTGAAACTCTTGTTGATGATAATATTTGACCCCCAATCTGGATATTTTCTATCAACAAAAATGAACTTACATCGGAAATTTGAAAAAGGGTTTATACCTTTTCTGTAGCCAAAAAATCAGCCTAATCTCCGTGTAAAAACATGCTCTAAAACCCTCCTAAAGACCTCCCTAGCTAAAGTGAAAATCTCATGTGAAGCAAAATTGGGGGTTGTCATTCTCTCGCATGATGACACCTCCTACATGATTAAAAAGTTGATGGATCTGACTTCCAAGCAACTCTTCCTCTCTGGAAACTAGTGACCAGGGAGGTCTCTCCAACCAGATCTGATTTCTGCAAATTGGTGATTCCCCTGATGCCTCTCTTATTTGGTGCTCTCTCTATGCTTCATTCCTATTTTGTCGTTGTCAAGGACACAGCCCTCCTGTTTACAGCTGCTGTCGTCATAGGGTTGAAATTTGAATCTAATGAACACCAGCGAAATTGAATGAAAACGGGCGGAATTGAATGAACACGAACACGTATTTAGTCAGAAGCAGTAGTCGGATGCTTGATTGATCACAATTCACAACTACAATCACTCAAAGCTCATAACTCCAGGCATTTGAGAGGCTGGTCTCTCCTCCACGAACTCACGGGTGTGTTTTGAGAACAATCATTAGATGACCCTACCTGCTCCCCCTCCCACCTTTTATACCCAACATAACCAACTCAACTCCAACTACCACAACCGACTCAACAACTTATTAGGAAAACTACAAAAAACACCCCTGTTCATCTTGACTTCTATTACACATTTCCATGCTTCTTCCTATGTCTTGCATGAGTCTAGAAACTCTAGACTCATCAGAAACAGTTTTCTGATAACTGAAAGTGAAGATAGTAGTTGGGTTCTGTTAGAGAGAGTGGAGGTGGTGGAAAAAAGAGAGCCTCCCCCTCAAAGATGGTGCAAGACCAGATGTCATTTGCTTTGAGAGAGAGTCCAAGTAAGAAGAAGGAAATATATTCCTCTCTTACGAAGAAGAAAAGGTGAAAGAAAATATATTACTCTCTGAAATAAAGAAGTAGAAAAAGGAAGCATTGTTAAAGTAGAAAGAAGGCATTGTCAAAGGACGACAAGTGCAGGTACAGATCCTGTCAAAACAAATCTATCATCATCACCAACTATATAGTATATGATAGAAAGAAATGACTGTCATATCCTGCATAAATTAAATTCTACAATCATAAACGTCATTAAGCATATTAAGCCAGTTATATCATATTGATGCAACAAAAGCAAGCTTTAGGCAGAATTTCGCAGAAGACCATCCAATGTCATCATACAAATGCACAGAGAGTAAAAGTTACATTTCATTGACAACAGAACCATTTCGCTTTGGCACTTGCAAGTGAGCGTCATTTTTCATTGACTGAGACGAGGACAACTTTGCTGCTGACAGTCCCTTAATATGAAAGACAGTACATCATATGAAAAACAATGATTTGCATGTGCCATGGGATCTATCTTAATTCTCCTATATCCTAAACAGTCAAGCTTTACATGACACTCAATAAGTACCTTTACAGGAAGTTCATCTACAGAAAAATTGAATTCCTCTCCCCACATTGGATTTCTTGAACCAGGAACCATCGAGCTGCAGAATTAGCATGAGTAAAAATTACTTGAATCATAAGATAGAAGCAACCCTTAAATGTATAGTTCGAGCATAATGGAAATTAACTAAAAGCAATCACAGGTACAAATCAATAAATCATCAGATAGTTTCTTTCCTTCAAATCGAAGTATGAAATGAAACAAAAAAATAAAAATATAACTGTACATGGTTTTCAATTTGTTTCCATCTCAAATGTAAGTTCAGAGAGTAAGGAAGTTAACATGAAACAAGATCAGCTAACGATTTGGAGCTAATGACTACTATCTGCATAGTAGTAAATTCGGAGATTTTGGTGAACTGGAAGGAAATTAAATAAACTTCATGTGCAGCATTAAGCCTCGAAAAGAAAAGGGAACCAACTAATCCGATCAATTACCTAAACCGCTTTTCTGTACCACAAGTGATGATTGCATAAGGATCTGACATGCCATTCAGGTTAGCACCAATAAGATTCTTAGCTGCTAACAGTTCCACCTACAAAACATAAAATTCCATGCTACTAATCAGCAAACAGAGCTTCAATAAGAAGCTATTTTCCTTGATTAAAATCTACGGCAGTACAGAACCCTTCTACACTGGGTAATACCTAAGTTTAAACTGTAGAGCAGTAAAAATACATAAATGACTAGACTGAATAATCTGATTTAAGTCATTACTCATTACTTTATTCAATCCACCATGTTCGAATAAATATCAAAATACATAAATGAGCAGACTGAATAATTATGCACAAAACATCAAAGATAAATACTATGGGAATTCTGTTTAGACATGAGATTTGGGCTTGTGGCACATTATATTTCTCTTCCAAATCTGCATTTTTGGCCATCTTGAGCTTCATGGTAATATCTATATATAATAATATAAAAATTAAAACATTTATCCTTTTCATAAATACAGACAATACACCAACTCCAAGGAAATACAAGACCATTTTTTTCACTTGTTTCGTTTAGATATACCTTTATAATATAAGCTGAGCTGCCGTGAGGGTCACCCTTCAGTTGATCTATCTACAAAGTGCAGAAGGGCACGTCATACAAATGGAAAATCACCCTGTGCAACGGATAATAAGTAAAGAAACCAAAACTGGGCAGCAAAAATAAAGACTATAACTTTGCATTGCCCAGGAGGTTATTTCTTTGAAAGCAATAATTTAAGATTCCTATACAGCAATAACCAAACCAAACCAAACGGACCCGGTAAATCCCACGAGAGGTAGGATCAGGGGTAGGATGTACGTAAACCTTGCCTCTAGGTAGAGAGATTGTTTCCGTGAAGACCCCCGGCTTGCATAACAAAAACTAAAAGAAACCAGCGAGCAAGCTAAATGTGAGAACGTGTGCAAACTAACAATGAGTGCAGTAAACAGAAAATGCAAAGAGACATATGTAAGGGAAATAGTTAAACAAACAAGCAAACACTAAATGCAGTACGGACAACTACAATTACAAGAAGAAAATCCAAGACTAGTGTACAACAAATAGGTCACACGCGTAGATACAATAGTTGACCTGAAAGGTAGAAAAACTAAGACAACCCACTATAGGACTTAAGACTCTGGTAACACCATGCTACCCCTCTCCTTATCTCACCCTCTAACTGATCCACCCTCCTCCAGCCCATGCTACATATCCCTACCCAAAGTTTGCTATCCTAGTCGTAGGTACCAAATATTCATCCAAACAAACGTCAAGTCCTCGAAAATGCCTAAGGCCGCTATATTTATCCTCAACTGCTTATCTCACGTCTTCCTCAGCCTGCCCCTCCTCCTCACCCCCTCAACCGTCATGCGGTATACAGTAATGAGGTTGATAAATGTTTATTGCATTGCTTAACACATCCCACAATGTTCACTTCTGGTTTGTGAAATCCAAATCTGGTACTTCTTATTCAAGGTTATCATCGATGTTTTAGTTTTTTAGCTCCAAACTTCCGACACTGTGATGCTTATTTCTCATATTAAATGTATGCAATCACGTTAGCCTCAACAATCAAAAACAATTGTTTTCAGTTTTGAAGATGAAAGGTAACAGCAACAAAGTTCATACTAAAAAGTCAAATTTTGACTTTTCTTTGGGTTCAGAGTCAGATTCAGTTCCGTAGAATACAACCCTAAGTACACGCTCTCTCTGTTCCAAGGGAGAGAGATCAAACCTATTAGTTGTTAATTTCAATTTTGACATGGATTTTGTTAAGAACTAAACACCGAATCCTGAATGTCGTGATAAGTTTAATAAAGTTAAAAGAAACAATTTAATACATAGAAGATATCATGTCAAACTGTTTTCGTAAGTTCTTTTCTTGTTCTTGGAAAAGAAGTACGATATTCACTCAGATTACGAATCCTCGAAGGAAAAGTGTTAAAACAGGATAGAGATGTCATAAGTGGGCCACAATCCACACAGTCACTTACGAATCACATGCAAATCAGCGGTAACAACCGCAAATCACCACACCAAAAATAAATAATCTCACCAGAAAAACAACCGGAGTTGCGATAATAATCACAATAGCAGTTCGAATTAGGATAAATGACCTTTTCTTTGTCATCAATGACATCACCGGAAACCAGAGAGGAGTTATCAATCAGGGACCGATCACCGGTACTGATGTCACCGTCGTATGCGAAGAACCAGTAGGCGACAATGAAGAAGAACGCGGCGGCGACGGTGACTTGGACCTCCCACCATGAAGGCAACAAACAATCGATAGCCGCTTCTGTGATCATTTAAAGCTAGATGTATGTATATATGTATATATCCAGATTACAAACGGTAATCAAGATCATGCTAAGAGCAGATTAACGAAGGATTACTGCCGACTGATTTCCCATTAGAGATATGGAGAACATCAAACCGAAAGGGAAAGATGAAGACGACGACTAAAATTGAAGTACCACTTTCGTGTTTGATTCGTTATTTTGGAACTGTTGGAGGTAAAAACAATGATTGGGAATTTTTTGGTGATATTTAGGTTCATTTTAGATTTTAGATTTTATATAAAATTAATTAATTAATTACGGTTGGTTTTTCGTATCTTTTAAATTTAAAACGACACTCGTTTTATATATACATCTGTAAAAATCAAGAAAATCTACTTATGGCTACGAAAGTTCAAATGCAGTGATTCCGGGCCATCTGTAAAGTTGGTGATCGTCCTGCAATTAGTTAACTTGCATAACGGGTTGGATATCCAGAATAATAAATTTATATGATCACAGCTTAATTTTATACAACATCGATGTTTTGATTTTTATTCGGTTATGTTGAAGTTTTCAATTTTGGTCTACTTCGGACTACATGAATAGCCTTAGTTATTGACCTTGACCTAAAATCATGAAAAGAAATTTGTAGCCTAGCAAATAGCATATTTATACATCTTTAAGTGGTTAGTACTTTTTTCGGTGGTCGGTTATATATAGGTCCGATTAATTACAGATTAAGTCAAAATGCTGAGAAATGTGTTATAGATCTATTAAATGTTTGTTTGCTTACGGATTTTGAGTGGTATTTTTCTAAGATTTTGTGAGGTATATTTAAAATTAACTAGTATGGGAACAGCTCGTTGCGCAGTAATATGAGTACTTTGATTAATGATCTGAGGATTGACTATATAAATATATATTAATTGTTAATAGAAACATCAACAAATCGTATTCAAATAATTCGAAAAAATTAAATAAAATATAGTTAGTGAAATTTTAATATTTATACACACACACACACACACATATATATATATATATATATATTGAGAGAGAGAGATATTTGTTTAGTAATAAGAATGTAAAACTAAATAAAATGAATAATAATAATGACGGAAATATTAAGGAATCTGACACAAACTCAAGAATAAAAAATACTCCGCGTAAAGATGTCTCCTTCAAAGGATGATGTATATGTACCATTTTTTATCCTCAACATACACCTTGACTTTAAAAACACAATAGTGAATAGACTAATTATACGATATGTAAAAAATTACATACCAAACTTAAGGCTTCAAATCTTTATAATCCAATAGATAAAATTATAATGCAATCAAAATCACAACATAAACATACATAAAATTATAATACGACTAAACTTACGATAAGAACATACTTAAAAATATAATCCAATCAAAATCTTGATACAAACATACATAACATTATAATACACTCTAAATTACAAAACAAACTTGCATAAAATTCTTACCTTAGATCATAATCATAAATTCCCACAACCCAAACTTGAAAACTTCAAATTTTCAAGACTTGATATATAAACGTTAAAGAACTCGAAAACCTGCAAACCAAAAAACGTTCAACATAAGTAAAAATTACATAGCGAACTTGAATATTTTTTATCATTGCCTAATACATAAGAGTTATATTGCAAACAAAAATACGATACAAGCATAAATAAAATTATAATGCAATCAAAATCACGAAACAAATCAATATAAAATTATTACCTTATATTGCAACAAAAAAAATCAAATATTGAACTTGAAAACTTCTTCAAATCTTCATGACATAATGCATAAAAACTATAATGCAATCTAAATAACGATACAAACATACATAAAATTACGGGAGAAGTGAAAAAATAAAAAAAAAAACCTATGAATATCATTAATAGTAAAATAGAAGAAAAACCAAAGAGAAATAAAATAAATTTAGATATGTATAAGATTGAGATAGAAGTTGAGAGGGTGTGAGAGAAAAACCAAGTGATGGAGATAAATAAAAATAGATTGAATGATGAACAATTCATGAAAAAGAGTTAGGGAAAATGAAAGGATTATGTTAAATGCAAACATAAATGAATAATCAATGTTTATAAAAATTAAAAAAAAAATTAAGAATGATGAATGAAAAAAAGATAAATAAGTTTATAACCTTTAGGAGAAGCCAAGTCATCAACCTTGGTTTCTCCTTTAAATATATATATAGATTATATATTTGTTTTATCTTTGTCCCTAAACATGTATATCTATGTAATGGGTTGTTTACTTGCGGCTTAATTAGGCTTATTAGTCTATCTGGCTTATTCGCATAACTCATTTAGATTGTTTACTTACGACTTATTCGCACGGAACATGGCTTAAATCGCACAGATAGAAATGGTGTGTTGTCCTTATTCAGCCACAAAAATGACACTTCTACCCCTTATTTGAAGCACCGCCTCCTTCCCATATGAGACACTCATTATCGGCCTCTTTATGAATTTTTTTTTGTTCAAATAATTAATACTTGCGGGTAAATCGATCATTTATGTTATTCAGACTGTTGATTCAGATAAAAAAAGTAAACAACAATACTCATTTATCCAGACAGACAAATTTATCCATACATGACTTAATAAAAAAATTTGGTAAACAGCCCCTAAATATGAATTATAAAGAGATGAGATGACACTTTAAGAATTATTACCCGATGGAACGACTTTTATTTAAAAAAAAAACTTAAATTAATTTATTGACCATCCAAATCGTACAGAGGTTGAACCAGGTTGATTGACTTTTATCAAAGATGGGATGCCTTGATTCCTATTTATGAACGACAAATAGACATACACACCCTCCTAATCTTTGTTGAGGTTTGGACCTCGAGTCTCTTGGAAGGCAAAGTCCCCACATACCACTAGGCCAACGACTCTTTTGGTTGATTCCTGCATCTTGTGCGCATAGAATTTGCGGTTAAGGTTTGTAGAGTTTCGATCAATCAAAAGATTACATGGAAGAGATCGTGAAATAGAGTAAACGACATAAACATCTCCTTTGATTCTTACTGAAAATATGGAAGACGTGGTAGAGCTGTAGATGGAGTAAATACCTGATCTCATGTAAGACGACATAACATGGTCGTCAATGATCAGATTGGAAAATGCATTTGATCAATTAATCTTTTTGCCAAACAAACCATTCCTCTCTTTGTGAGTGTACAGGCGCTCAATTGTGAAAGAGGCCTTTTTTTTCTTTTTCTGCAAGTCAATCTGCATAAAACTCGAGAAAGTACTTTTAGACCTTTCTTTTCTTAACCGCCTAATTAGTACAAACTTTGTTAACCGGTAACCACAAGGGTGGTGCCTGATTGGTTTGAGCTTGACTCCAAAGATCAAAAATACCAGGAGTTCACATGTTCAAATCCAAGAAGGAATAAAAATCCTCTTGTGGCCACGAGGGTTCAAATGCGGTGACTCTGGGCTATCTGCAAAGCAGGTGGTCGGCCTGTGATTAGTCGGCTCGCATAGCGGGTTGGATATCTAAGTTAATAAAAAAAAACTTTGATAGCCGGGATATTTTCATTTTTCTCATATACTCATATCACATTTATTAACTGTCACTTTTTTTTAATTATCTTATTTACTTTGTTTAAATTTTCTTAATTATCTCATCCACTTTCTGTTTGGTGAATTTTTTTGAAACAATCAATGTTCATATACGAAACAACATTATGAATTTTAAACAAAAATTATTGTTTCACCTATGAATTTTCTGGTTTCACCTGTGAACTTCGGTAAAAAAAAATAGAAACAATCAAAGTTCATAGATTAAACAACGCTATGAAATTTAAACAAATATCATATAAAACATGATTATCTTCTAAAAATAGAAACAAACATCATATTAAACAGAGTCGCGCAATTCAAGAGGAAGAAGGGAGAGAGTGATTGATGATTATTTTCTAAAAATAAAACATGATTATCTTTTAAAAATAAAAACAGTTTTTTTTTCCAAAACTACCGTTCGTTTAATTCAATTTAATTTCTTTCATATTTCGTCATTTTATAATCTCTCATTTAACCATAACGGTTGATCAAAACAAGAACGACCCACATGAGTTGAGTTTGTAAAGTTAGGGTCTGTGTGTTAGGAGTTTAATGAGACTCGCAACTTACTTGGTCGACTATACATAACTTTTTGATAGGGACTTAGTGATATAGAAAGTGATTTATTTGGTTATATTCTTGAGGGGCTTTATGCAGAAAACCAAATTTATTCCAATTTGTCCCTCAAAAACATGTTCCTTCCATCTATAAAAAAAACTCTCTCAAACAAATTTTTTTCCAATTTATACAACCATACAGACTATTTTATTCATAAAAAACTTTATAAAAAAACTAAATGGTTTATTTGGTCAACAAATCATTGTACCCTTCTCTTTCTCTCCCCATATATTTATATATATATAGGGTTGGGCTTACGTGAGACCCGTAAGACCAATTTATGTTCATTGATCAACTTTATATATATATATATATATATATATATATATATATATATATATAGAGAGAGAGAGAGAGAGAGAAAGAGAGAGACTTGGTATCATGTGAGACCAAAGGTTTTTCGTGAGATCCGTAAGACCAATTATCAACCCTTAGAGTTTATCTACAATCTGAACATTCATAATCACAAAATTGCAATGAGACTTCTCAATAATCAAAAAATGTCACCGTGCAACTTTAGACCATTAGATCATTAACTTATAAAGTTGATCAATGAACATAAATTGATCTTACGGGTCTTACGAAAAATCTTTGGTATCACGTAAGCCCAACCCTATATATATATATATATATATATATATATATATATATATATATACTAGAAGCGTACTCGCGCAATGCAGCGAGATACATCATGATTTTAATATTTCATTTTCTTCTTTATCTCAGTCGATATTATAATATGGCT